GCCCCGACGGGCCGTCGATGGGCGCCCGCGGGTCCCAGCCCGCCGGGGGAGAGGGGTCGGGCCCCGAGCAGCCGCAGAGCCAGGGCCGGGAGCAGCGGCTGGAGGCCAAACTGCCACCGACCTGCCCGAGCGAGGGACAGTTTCAGAGGCAGAAGCTTTCAAAATACCTCTGCGCTCGGGTGGGCAGCAGAGCTGCGCGTTTCCAGTCCCTTCTGCGTCGCCATCCATTTTTCCTGATTCCATGAGTGGTGATTCTCCCTTTCCCGAGTCCGCACATCCCCTCAGCCCCGCTTTTTCAGGAGGATTTAATTATTAAAGCTCCTTTCCTGCAGCAAGTCCTGGTCGGACTGACCCCATGAGGACAGAGGTAAGGCCATGGCGCAGGGCATGGAGCTAAAAACATTCAAATCTCGGTGCCTCCAGAAACGTTTTTAGTGCCCCAACTCCCCATTTCTGGAAGGGCAGCGCTTTCTACCGCCTGATCCTGCCAGTTGGCCTGACTCAGGCCATGCCAGGGTGACAGATCCCCCGGGATAACAGAACCAATGAACTTCTTCACTCCTTTGCTGCTGGGCAAAGTCGGCTTTACTTGACTTGAATTTGGTCCAGTTTGTCTTGTTTCGTTTGATTTGTTTTAGATTCGTTTTGGCTTGGTTTGATTTGTTTTGGGATCGTTCGGGTTGGTTTGATTTGGTTTCGTTGAGAAGAGCTAGGGTGGACGGGATTGAGTTGATTTGGGTTGGGTTGAGTTTGGTTGGTATTGGTTTTGGTTGGGTTTGGTTGGGTTGAGTTGGGTTTAGTTTGTTTGGGTTGGGTTGAGTTTGGTTGCTCTTGGTTGAGGAACCTCTCCCCGTGTCTCACCGCAGCTCTTTCTCAGAGGGTTTCCCCTTTTTCTCTGGCGGAGGTGGGCTTGGGAGGAGATGCTTTCGTTTTCGTAACAATTCCCAATAATTTATAGACTGAATGTGAGTCTATACAATGCTAATAAATTTGAAGAGGAAAAGCTGGCAGAGACTTAACTTTGCTGCCTGATATATGGCCCAGGTGGTTTTGTGCTGGCTGCAGATGCCGAAGCCTGTCGGGGGTGGGAGCTCCCTTCCGAAAGCAGAATCCCCCTTTCCCGGTCCCGCGAGGGCCCAGGCGTCCGCGAGGTGGCCCGAGAACCTCCCTCGGCACCTCCCGTCCAGGGCTTGTCCCAGGGCCGGGGCTCAGTCTGAGCACTACGGGTGCCACTTGCCACCTCAGCAAACGCAGGGCTGTCCCGAGGGCCACGGGGCTGCCCGCTGCTCCAGGAGACGCTGCAAATTCTCCTCTAATGTAGACGTTTCTCGTCTTCTTAACGGAGTTGTCACTGGCGTGGCCAGCGCTGATTTATTTACCCGAGCCGGCCCTCGATGCTACGTTATTTACAGCGGGCGGAAACGCGGCGGGTTATCTGGTGTCTCCGGCTTTTCCCCGGAGGCCTGCGAGAGCTTTCTCTGCTCTTTTAGCGCTTCAGCCGCCACCTGAGAGGCCAGGAAGGTCGGAGTCTGTGTTGGGAAGGTACCCTCGAGCTGCCGGGTTACCCACTGGTTCAGACCTGGAGTGGCCCAAAGACAAGACAGGACGAGCCGGACACGGTCTATGGGGACTCAACTCTCGAAATGTGACCCTTTTCCCAACCACCTCCATCTCATTGGGACAGGCCGGGAAAGTGAGAGGAAGGGAGGGAAGCCCGGGCCCCGGGAGCAGCCCTGGGCTGCCTTGTGCAAGCTTTGGCTCGACGGCATGACGTCAGGGGAGCAGACAGTCGTGACGTCATACGGGGAAGCCTATGACGCAACGCCTGGTGTCCAGGGAGAGTCCGTCCTCCGGCACCTTGTCTCCCCGTGGCCCGAAACCCCACCGGGGGCGCGGAGCACTCCTGGCACGGCGAGGGGGAAGCGTAAATCCCCCTCCCCCGCTGTGCGCTGTCGCGACATGAGTTGTCGTGACAACCCACAGGTAAAACCTGCCTGTCTTTGGTTCGTACCAAGGCGCAGAGCAAGAAGATGGCCTGATACATGTACACATACCTACACACGGACACATGCATATGTGTATATATGTGTGTATATATATATATGTATATATGTATATGTGTGTGTATATATATATATATATATATATGTATGTGTATATGTATATGTGTGTATATATATATACATATATATATGAAGAACCACACGCCCGGCGCGTGCGCGGGTGTGCAGTACCTGCACGACACGTCGGCCCGCGCGGGGACACGCGTGTGTGCCGGAGGCAGCCAGGCGCCAACTGCCCTTAGCGCCCGGAGCCGGCCGGGTTCTGCCCCGTCCCGCTTCCCCAGACGCCAATGCAGACGCCCGGGATCGTCAAGACCGGCCCGTTATTTCCCCCTTTCTCCTAATGTCCAGTAATTAAGGGCAGTTCCCGTGGCAGTTTTGTCCCCGCCAGGAGCGTCCCCCTCCGATCGTGCCCTGGCGGGTCTCAAACCTGCAGCTCCAGGGTCTCTTCAGAGGTAGGGACGTGGGTCTGGGCCCGCACCCTGGGGACACCCAGAAAGAGCCGGGGGGTCCATCCTGCTGGGGAGGGAGCCGAACCGGCCACTGCCACAGCTGTAACTTTGCCTGGATGAAAATGCGCTGAGCGCCCCGGGCTGAGCCTTTCCCAGCGCTCAGGGCTGAGCCTTTCCTAGCGCCCAGGGCTGGGCCATTCCCAGCGCGCGCAGGAGCAGAGCTGAAACCTAGAACGAATTTTCAAGATGCATTTTTATAGAGCAGAACAAAGACTGTAAATTAGGCGCATTAGGAGAATAAAAAAAAAGAAGAAGAAGAAGAAAGAAAAATGCCGCCTCCAGTTTTAAGGCTGCTCTAAGCAGTAGGTTTAAAATAACCGGATTATAAGAGCGCTGCTGTTTGCGCTGCCCTTCCAGAACGGCCCCGTCGCGGGGCCCGCTGAGGTCCTGGGGCCCCGCAGATCTGCCCTCCTCCCCGCAGCCCGGGATGAAGGAATTGGGGAGAGAGGCAATAACGCGGCTGGGCCCCGTTCACTCCCCGTGCCCCAAATTCCTCTTCATCGACAGTCCTGAGCGGAGGCTCGTCGCAGAGCTGAGGACGGCCACATGGGTATGAATTTGTCACTCGAAGTAAATAAATAAACAAAAAATAAACAAAAGAGACTTTGGGAAGGCAGCATCTACCTGCCGCCACACCTAATTGATACAGAAGAGAAGCTCAGAAGGGCAGGGTGGGAGCCCTTGGGTGCCTCGGGGTGTCAGCAAGAGTCCCTCCTGCTGCAGCCCCCCCGAGCTCTCAATGTGCTCCCGGGCTACGAGGGGAGCCCGAGTAAATCTCACCCCCACCACGTCCCTGCCCCGTGTCGGAAAAAGGCTGCGGAGCGGGAGCGCTGCGCCGTCCACTTTCCATGGAGCAGTTCAAAAGTTCTCTCCCACATCTTTACTTGATTTGAAAGCAAAATAGAGTGTCAGGATGGATCAGCGAGAGGGAGCAGAGAAAATAAAGAGGGAAAAGGTCCTTTCGCAGGAATAGTTACACTCAGGGCCTCCCCCTCTCCCCCCACCGACACGCGGGGCCGCGGGGCGCTCGTGCCCGCGCAGCGCAGCGGGCGGGTTTCCCACGCGGGGCTCTGCGGCTCCGCGCTTCCCCCGTGAGGCCGGGCCTCTTTCCTTGCCGTTTGCCCAGGTGCAAAGCTCCAAGCCAAGCCTGGAGTTCTTCTCTCTCTCTTTTTTTTTTCGTTTCTTTTTTTCTTTCCCATTTCCCCAAACATTGAGGTGCTTCATAAGTGCCCTAAACGACAGCGGTAATAGAGGCCTTCGCGCAGAGGGCTGAGCACCCTCGGAACTGCCCTGTTTTGTTCCCTCTGCCCCCCGTTTCCCGTAGGACCTCCCCACACCTGGTCGGGCCTCCCGGGCCACTGCAAGGGGACAAGGCCTAGGAGCCGCCCCTGTGTCGATGTCGCACGGGCTGCCCAGATTAGGGGGGATGGCCGGGGCGAGCGGGAGAAGATACCTCTCCCGGGCCCTTCCCCACCCTGCCCCGACCCCCGCGCTCGCAAAAAGTCTCCCAGGGCCGCGGAGCCGCAGCCCCCTCCGAGGGTCACCGGGAGTTCGCCGCGGGAGAGAAATTATTCGTTATTAATAACGTGCTGAAAGCTGATGTGATGGGAGCGTTTGCGCAGCGCTTGTTGCTTCGGCCCAAATCTCGGCGGGTCTCTGCGAGTGGGGCAGCCGCCCCAGCCCGGCCTCCGAAACACTCGTGTTGTTAACCCGTCACCAAATAGAGATATAGAATTGTGATTATATTTATACACGTATACACAATTATATACATACATATATGTATAATTATATGTATATGTCAGTGAATATATATGTGTTTATATATGCGTGTGTGTGCTTGTATGTACGTATAAAAAAATAAACCCAGCTCACACACAAATCCCACGAGGCAGCCGGAGAACAAATTCCCTGGAGCTCGGGAGAATGCGGGGCTTGACCCTGCGCTTGAGTCCCGCTGCAGCGGGAGGCTGCGCGGGGCGCGTGAGCCCGCGCGAGGGGGTTGTGCCCCACACTGCGCCTGGGCGCAAACAGCGCGGGGGCGGCTAAAGGGCGGGAGGGGACCCTGCTATCCGCGCCTCTCCAGCAGGGCAAATACACCAGCAAGGCCAGGGAGAATCTGATATTTTTTGGAGAAGGGAGGGGATGATGTTTCTGAAATATTTTTTATTCAAAAATGGACGGGTCGGGAGAGGGAGGGCAGGGAC